GGGCATTCGCAGCCAGCGTTCTCGCTTCCCATGCATAATCACAAGGATGGTCCCTGCCGGCCTGGCCGCTGCTTGGACGGAACAGGCAGGACCCGTTGGGCAGCCCAGGCCTCTGCACCCTCTGCCTATCCTGCCACAGACAGGTGGCTGAGAAGCCCACCCCGTGGAGGAGGCGAGGCAGCACACAGAGCTTTCTCCTGCTTCTCCGTTTCTTGCCCGGCTGGCCTAGGGTCTCTAGGTGCTGGGAGTGGGGGACCTGGGGCTGCTGGCATGGCCCCCGGGACACCTCAGGGCAGTGGCCACCAACTGGAGTCCCTGGGGCTGCAGGCACAGGCCCTTGAAAGTGATGGGGCACCGGGGCTACTTCTCCTCTTCTGCGTTTAAAATCTCTGATCTGTTTCAGGGTTGCACAGGGGGTGGTTGAGGCTGACCTACAGAGCCTCAGTTAACTTGAGACGTCCGGAGCAAACTGTCGCTTCAAACATGTGGCTTGGTGACAGTCCGCCAGAGGGAAGGCCAATGAATCAAATGCCCTAGAAAGTGACCCGGATCAAGTTCCTTGCCCGGCCCTCTGTCCCCTTGCCTGTCAGATGAGAGTGGTGGCAGACGCCCCTGGGGGAGACCCCCGATTTAATAGGATAAGGTGGATGGGATCCAGCAGGAGTGGCTGCCACCTCGAAAGGGCTCGCTTAATGCTGGGTGACTGTTATTATGATTAGCCAATGACTGGAAGCTGCTCCGTGACTGCTGCTCAAACCCAGCCCCCCACGGTGCAGCCACAGTGCTGGAGAACCATGCAGACGGTGAGAAGTCGCCTCGCCTCTTAGCTGGGGCACTGCCGGGGCCCAAGCCTCCCGAGAAACCACCTGACAACTGCCGAGATGGCTCCCGCGGGACCTGGCCCAAGGGGTCTCAGGAGCTTGCAAGTGACTCCCAAAGTAGGAAGATCGCCAGGGTCAAGGGCAGGTTCCCAGGGGCCTCTGCTCCCTGCTGAGCTGTGGCCAGGGGCTGCAGGAAGGGTCCCACGAGGACCCCGAGTCTGACCATAACCCAGCCCCAGAACGACTGTGCCGAGGTGAGGCAGGTCCAGGGAGACGCAGTAGCACAATGTTCAGAGTTGAGGGGCTACTCCCCTCCAAGACCCGGCCAGAGGAACTCTGAGGCCAGCTGACAGCGCCACTGGGAACAACCACCAGGAGTCTGCTAGGGGACAGGACCAGCCTGGGCAGAGCAGGGATGTGGCACCCTTCAGGTCACCAAGAAGCCTGTTTGCTTTGCTGGCAGAGGCCGCTGTTAGCATCACCGTGGAGCTACCCATTTATTGAGCACCTGCTGTGTGCCACACTTGGCACTTAGTTCTTCCCACTGTAAGAACCCTAAGGGGAAGGTTACCATCTTTATTATTATCCCTCACCCCATTCTCCAGGTCAGAAGACTGAGGCTCAAAGAGGGTAGATCGTTTGTTCCAGGCAGGAAGTTTGGGCACATGGCTCATAAGTGACAAGGCGGGCCCAGTGCCACCCACACCAGCTCCGGACCTTTGCCTGCAGCCCAGGAAAACAAAGGGAGCAAGAGGGGCCCACGGGCCTGTGTTCTGCCCCTCTTCCACTCTGCTGGTGCCCACCAGCCCTCATGGCCATTTCTCGTTGCAGGAAGGTGAACAAGTGCTACCGCGGCCGCTCCTGCCCCATCATCGTGCACTGCAGGTGGGTGCAGAGGCCGTGGGGTGCGGTGGGGGCGAGCTGAGGACACGGCGGCCCTGGGATGGGGCCCTTCATCTCCATCTTCCTGCTCCCTGTGTACGCTGCTCGTCCAGCCCCTTGAGGCTGGCAAACCACAGGCCACGGGTCCCCTCGGGCGCACCACCCATCTCTAGCGCCCCACGAGCTGAGAACGGTTGAAGGAACCAAAGAAGAACTTGTGACCTAGGCTGCTCAAGGGCACGGGAAAGAGTTCTTGGAAGATGGAGTTAAAAATGAGCTTACAGGGTGCAAAAAGTCTTGAAATATGTACATACAAAGAAGACTTTAAAAAGTTCATGGAAACACAAATTATCTTTTTTTAAAAAAAGTGCATGGATTCCAAATTTTTTGCACCAAAATAATCATATCTTTTAGTTCTGCTTTCCAAGAACTGTTTGAAGGAGTCTCATCCACAGCCCACAGCAGAGGGCATGGACCATCTGGCTTCTTCCACAAAACGCTGGCTCCATAGTAGCCTGGCCCCATCCCCCGCCGCTGCGCCCACCTCACAACAGAGCCCCAGTTGTCCCATTGTCCAGTGACTCCCACGGGCCACCAGCTGCCCACTCAAGGTCCAGGGCTGTGACTGTCCTTCCTCAGCTGACCCCTGTCCTGTCCCCACGGCCACCCACACAGATCGGCCAGTATCCTCCCAGCCCAGGCCTCCATGTCCCCTCTGTCCCTCCCCCTTCCTGCTGACTGTCCCAACTCCTGTTCCAGCGACGGTGCAGGGAGGACTGGCACCTACATCCTGATCGACATGGTCCTGAACCGCATGGCAAAGGGTGAGGACTGTCCCCAAGGGGCCTGCAGTCACCCCACCCCCACCGCAGGCCTTGGCTAGAGTCTCCCTAGCACCCAGGGTCCCAGAGCTGGTGGAGGAGCAGGCTGTCACACCTCATGTGTGTGACATGCCCCAGCAGTGACACCCCCTGAGCAGCCCCGTGACCCCCCCCCCTCCAGGCGTGAAGGAAATTGACATCGCTGCCACCCTGGAGCACGTGCGGGACCAGCGACCTGGCCTCGTCCGCTCTAAGGTGACTGTGCCTTCCTGCCCCCTGCCCTGTCCCTGGCACCTGCTTCTGGGCCACTCATGGAAACCAGCAGTCACCTGCCCCCCCCCCCACCTGCCTCTGTGCCTCCCTGAGAGGACTTGCCCTCTGTGCCACGCCCTCCCCTGCTCCTGGGGCAGGGCAGAGCTGAAGCCTCCCCTGACCCTCCCGCAGGACCAGTTTGAATTTGCCCTGACTGCTGTGGCGGAGGAAGTGAATGCCATCCTCAAGGCCCTGCCCCAGTGAGGCCCCCCAGGACCCCTCCCTGGGCAGCCAGACCCCGTTCCTGTCCGCCTGCGTGAGCATCTGTCTGTGCACCCACGCCTGGCCTCCTCCCGCCCCACTGCTGGGCCCCTCTGTGGCACGCACAACCCTTCCAAAAGGCGCTTGCGAGGAAGGGGAAGGGGGTGGGGGCAGGCTGCTCACAAGGAGTTGGCAGCTGGCTGGGCGGAGAGGCGAGGACGTGGGCAGGGGTTCTGCCAGAGCCTTCCCTGCCTGAGTTCCCTGGGTCCTGGCACCTGTGGTTCTGGGCGCTTCCAACCCCTGCCAGCCTCCACTGCGGCCAGAGCAGGGTGGCAGTGGCCAGCCCTAGCCCCGCGGCTTCCCCAGCCCTGCCACGGCTGGCCTGCCACCCCGACCCCCTGCTGGCATCTGCCCGGCTGGCCCTCGCCCTCGGCCTCCTCTCGCTGCCCTCTTGCGTGTGCCACTCACCTCTTCCCTCTGGCCCACTTCTAGAAACATCTACTTTTGTATCAATGTGAATAAAGTTAGTGTGTTGTCTGTGCAGCTGCAACCCAGACTCCGGTGTCAGTGCGCCTGCTCTGCTCAGCTGCTTGGGCCCTGCGTGGTTCAGGAGACATGAGAGGGCACGGGCCAGCACCTGGGTCTGAACAGTGGCTCCCCACTGGGGCGGTCACTTTGGTCGCGCTGTGCTTCCTAGGTGGCCGGCAGTCTCCCAGGGGCCTCACGGGTATTTGTCTCAGCACCAAAAAAACATCACCACCATTAGCCCCACTTTCCAGATGCAGAGACTAGGGCACAGAACTTGCGAGCCAGGAGTTGAACCCGGGCATCCAGACCTATTTCCTGCCTCTGCCCGAGGTTCTCAGCTAGCTGCTTCCTGCCTCGGGGCCTCAGGAATAAGGTACAGCATCAAAGACTGGGATTTGGACTAAACGAGGTGGCTCTGGCCGAGTGCCTGCCACACCGCAGGGCTCTGATAGGCGCTCTGGGCCCCGTGAGATGTCAGGACACTTGCTCCCTTGCAGCCCCAGCTCCCAGAACCCTCCCCACTGTGTGGCCCCACAAGGGGTCTTCACTTGTGTGTCATGAGATGTCCGTGGACAATGCTGGTAGGTGTGGAAACGCGGTGAAAAGCGCCTCGAACCTCGGACTACCTGGGTGCTTCCGTGGGCTGAGGCTCAGGGAGCCCCAGGCAGACCCCAGCCCCAGGCCCCTCTGGGGGTCCCACCCGTGCCCTGCTGGGTGAGAGAGCTCCACTCCCTTAGACACCTCAACTTGCGCAACAGGGCAAAAGCGATTTTGCAAACTTCCCATAGACTCTCCTTTCTCTCAATGGAGGCTTGAAATCCCTCTCTGGGCAGGCGACCTCTTTTGAGAAAAATGCGTCTATACCTTTAGTTACTGAAGGTGAAGGTGAGGGGCAATGGGGAGCCACACTGCCCCGCCTGACAATGTAAGGTGCTCGCACCATGGCCGGAGACAAAGGGGAGGGGCACGCAGCATTTTCCCTCCCTGGGCCCTGATCAGTTTGTGGCCTGGCCCCTGGCAGGGGTGAACCTAGGCCACTCCACGTGCCATTGGCCCTGCCTCTGGCTGTGAACTCGGGAAAGCTGCCCAGGGTTTAGTCTGTGGGCTTTGAAGATGCAGTTTAAAGGTTTTATGGTGCATGTGTGTCCTTGGCATTTTGTGGTCTCCGCGGTTTCTGTTAAGTCTGAACTCAGTCTGGCCCTAGCGTCCTGGGTGATGGGGCCTCTCCCCTGGTGAAGGTAGAGAATGTGGCATCCTTGGGGCTCCATAACACAGGTGGGGAGGGCCACCTGGGCACGGGGGGGACCGATTCTGCCCTTGCACCTCTAGCTGTCTGGGTATAAAGGAAGTGTGGGTCAGAAGTGCCCCTTGCTGGTCCCACAGGGTCCCTCCTGAGCCACCCCAGAGAGGAAGACAGGGACACAGCACACCACCGAGCTGTCAAAACTCAACTTTATTGATTTCCAGTGTCTCCCTCTGTGTCTGAGCTCAGCCCAGCTGGCTTTGATAGGTCTCTGAGGCTCAAGGTCACAAGGGTTGGCGGCACCCCGGTTCCCCACCCCAACCCTCCCCAGCCACTGGGCACTCCAGGCAGGGAGGAGGAGAGGCGGGTTTGCTGTGATGTTGGCGAGAAAAGAATGGGCAGCAGGGTCAGAGGCCAAAGAAAGCCATACAAGCAGCAGCATGCCCGGAGCTCCCATCACAGGCCCCCCGGCCACACACACCCATGGGGACGGCCTTCCCTTCCCGGCTCTGCCAGCCCGCGCGCATCAGCTCCCGGGCCCAGGCCTGCAAGCCCAGTCCCGCTGCTTGCCCTGGCTTGTTCCTCGGGCCCCAGGCCACCCACAGGACAAGAACCTCTCCCAGAGGCTGGAGGGCCCAACTTTACCCACTCCAACCCCGGAGCTGAGCAAGAGGTGTCGGGGGAGCTGATGCGGGCGTCATTCCCCGTTCATCCACGTTCTTGCCACCCCTGCCAGGGGCAAATCAAAAGACAAGATCTCCCCCTTTCACAGCCAGCGGCGGGCTGGCCGGGGCTGGAACTACACGTCCCAAGATGCACAGCTCCATATCCACACACAAACACACACCGCTTCCCCCAAGCGTGATTTATCAGAAATGAGGCCGGGCGCGTTGCATTCTGGGACTTGTAGTCCCCAAGAGACAGCAGCTAACACCCAGGAAACAGAGTTCACAGGCTAAAAGACTACTGACGCCTCCTCCCGGTGCCCACCCGCTACCCAGGCCCCAGCTCTACACTCAGCATGGGCGAGGGAGAGGAATGGAGTGTCCCCTCCCAGCACATGGGGGAGGGCGCTGTCCTGTTGGAACTGTGCAGCGACTCTGGCTCCCGGACATCCAGCTCAGAACACATCTGGGGAGAGAGCGGGGGCGGGGTGACAGGAGAGAGGGTCAGCAGCAAGCCATGGAGGATGGAGCAGACCTGGAGCATGCAGACCTGGGCTGGCTGCACAGCCCCTCCCTGAGGCAGTCCTGGGCACAGTCCCCGCCTAGGCCTCCCTCCTGGGTCCCCTTGGCCCTATCCCACCTCTCCCAGGTTAGCCAGCCTCGCCTCTGCCTAGTCCCATGGCCAGGGCAGGCTGAGGCAGCAAGAGGAAGGGAGGAAGGGACTCTGGTTCCGGCCTGGACAGCTGAGCCACTCCCACGCCCCGCTCCCAGCGCGCCCCCCGCCCCCACCAGATGACCTCACGGCCCCACCGGCCCCAGCATCTTCCTCGGCACACTGAGGCCTTCTCCGGGAAGGAAGGAGAAGGGAGTCCTAGCCAGACGGCAGTGAAAGCAAGCGATGCGGCCCGCAGGGCGTTGCGGAGAACAGAGTGGGAGGGAGGAGAAGCAGCACCAGAAAGGAAGCAACAGAGACGGTCAGAGCTCGACACTGCGCGGTGGGCCGAGGAGCGGCTGCGGCTGCGGCTGCGGCTGCACAAGCACAGCGGGCGGCCACTCAGCCGGCACTGCTGCCGGGCTGAGGGCCGAGCCCTCCTTCTTTGGCAACACCACCAGCGACACGGGTGGCAGAGGACCTGGGCGCAGAAGGCCCACCCCAGGCCATTAGGAATCTCAGAAGCTCCCCATCTGACGATCGGGGCCTCTGAGTTCCCCAGGCCCTTCCGCTGTCCTGAAGTCCCCTCCCTGGGTGTCACCCAGGGACCTATCAGCCCCAGGCTGAGCACAGCAAATCCCAAATCCACACTGCAGTGCAGGAGAGGAGGACCTTGGGAGGGAAACTCGTAGTGGGAGCCTGGAGTCAGAGACAGGCTCCTCTCGGCTCTCCCAACAGTGAGCCGGACCCCCGGCCGAGACCCCAATCAGGCGGCGTAGGGCCCGGGGCTCAGAGGATGAGGCAGCGAGAGGCTTTGTCCTCCGGGGATGGACTGCGTTCAGCTGCGTCACCCCTCGCGCCCCCCTGGGTGCCCGCCCTGCCTGCATCTTGGTGCTGGGCCTTGAGCCGCCCCTGCCGCTGCTGCTCCCCCCGCCCACCTGCCGGTTTCTTCCCAGCTGCCTCCATCTCAGACAGGCTATAGGCCATGGCAAGCTGCAAGTCCTCATCATCTTCAGAGAGGTCGCTGTCGGAGGGGTGGGAGGCAGGGGTCTGCCGCACGTGCAGGCCCCCGGCCCTGGAGGGGACGGACTGTTGCTGCTCCCGGCGGCTCAGCTCCAAGCCCAGTGCCAGGTCATCGGGGACACCTGCAAGAATTGGGGACCCCATGAGACCCTCATTCCAGGCCAGGGCATCCTGCCAGACCGCCTCGTGCACTGAAGGCTCTGACCACACAGCCCTGCAGCACCTGCGGCCGTGATGATGCAACAGGGAGGGGTCAGGACCCCACCAGGCAGGAGCCGTCTCCTCGGACAACCTATTCAACCTCCCTGCACCGCCTCCTCCTCACCTGTGAAATGGCAATGAGGAGAGAGCCTATGTCCAGAAACTGTCCTGGTGACTGGACCAGACAGCCCGTGCCCAGGACCCGCAACGCAGGGCGCCCAGCATCAGCCGGCACAGGAGGCTAGCCACAGGGACTCCTGTGCGACGTGCTGCTGTGGGCAGCGTGCCGCTCCAGGAATTCTGCATCCCGATTTACCCCTCACTCGACGGGGAAGAGTCTTGGGCCTGGGGTCCTTGTATATTAGGGCCAATTAACTGCACTACAGCTCAGTCTCCTGGATTAAAAACCAAGCAAATAGCACACGCCCTGATTCTTTAATAATACAGGGAGGGCCAGCGTTGTGGCACAGCGGGTACAGCCGCCACCTGTGATGCTGGCATCCCATAGGGGCACCCAGTTCAAGTCAAGTCCCAGCTGTTCCACTTCTGATCCAGCTCTCTGCTGACACACCTGGGAAAGCAGCAGAAGACGGCCCAAGTCCTTGGGCCCCTGAACCCACATGGGAGACCCATATGAAGCTCCTGGCTTCAGCCTGGCCCAGCCCTGGTCGTTGTGGCCATTTGGGGAGTGAACCAGCAGACAGAAGCCTGCTCTCTTTCTACCTCTCTCTCTGTAACTCTGCCTTTCAAATCAATAAGTAAATCTTAAAAAAAAAAAAAAAAAAAGAATAAAGAATACAGGGGATATTATATACATGAAGTGCTTTAAAAAGAGTACAGGGTGGAGCAGGTGTTTGGGAAAGCAGTTATGACACTTGGGCCACCCACACCCCATGTCAGAGTGGCCAGGTTTAAGTCTGGGCTCCCTTCCAATTCTGGCCTCCTCTTATTGGTGCTCTCTGGAAGGCAGAGAGACGGCTCAAGTATTTGGGTCTCTGCGACCCAGTGGGAGACCTGGAATAAGTTCCAGGCTCCTCGGGGCTGGCGCTGTGTCGTAGTGGATAAGCGTGGCCTGCAGCACCAGCATCCCATATGGGCACCAGTTTGAGTCTTGGCTGCTCCACTTCCAATCCAGCTCTGCTATGGCCCGGGAAAGCAGCAGACAATGAACCAGGTGCTTGGGCCCTTGCACCCACATAGGAGACCTGGAAGAAGCTCCTGGCTCCTGGCTTCATATCAGCCCAGCTCCAGCCACTGAGGCCATTTGGGGAGTGAACCAGCGGATCGAAGATCTCTCTCTCTGCCTCTGCCTCTCTGTAACTTTGCCTTTCAAATAAATAAATAAATCTTTTTTTTTTTTTTGACAGGCAGAGTGGACAGTGAGAGAGAGACAGAGACAGAGAGAAAGGTCTTCCTTTGCCGTTGGTTCACCCTCCAATGGCCACCGTGGCAGACACACTGCGGCCAGCGCACCGCGCTGATCCGATGGCAGGAGCCAGGCACCTCTCCTGGTCTCCCATGGGGTGCAGGGCCCAAGGACTTGGGCCATCCTCCACGGCCTTCCCAGGTCACAGCAGAGAGCTGGCCTGGAAGAGGGGCAACCGGGACAGAATCCGGTGCCCCGACCGGGACTAGAACTTGGGGTGCCGGCGCCGCAGGCAGAGGATTAGCCTATTAAGCCGCAGTGCTGGCCAATAAATAAATCTTTTAAAAAGGAAACATTTCCCACAGGAAGCATGCAGTGAAGTGCTATCTAGGATGGTTGCCAATCCAATCACATTTCTTTAAAAAAAAAAAAAAAAAAGGTCTCAGGCTCCTGACTGTCCTGGCCCGGCTCTGGCTATTGCAGGCATTTGGAGAGTGAACCACTAGATGGAAAATCTTTCTCTTTCTCTCTCTCTCTCTCTCTCTCTCCTTCCCTCAAATAAATGGCAATAAATAAATAAGTGTTAAACAAACCAACAAGAGTGAAATGCTTGCAAACGCGCGGCACTGTACTGATGAGGCTGGCAATGAGCCTGCTCTCAGAGCCCTCTGCCTTTCTCGGGACCACCAGCTCGGGTCCTGCCCTGGGGGTCCATGGCTGCTGTTCCCTCTGGACTCTGGGAGGGTTCGCAGAGGGGTGCTGGGGCGGGGGCTTCAGGGACTGGGTGGCAGAGCAGCTCCTCACCGTTGATCGTGACCGACTTCAGCTGCCCGTCCTCCTCCACTTCCACTCGCTCCTGCCCGTTCTCCATGATTCTGTGGGAGGCAGCAGAGTCCAGTCAACCCACGGCAGGCACTGCCTGCAGGCGCCGCCCCAAGCCCCCACGACGCCCTCACGCCCAGACCCTGCTCCTCCCTGGGCAGCCCCGGGGGCCCTCACCTGCGGGTCGTGATGCGGCGTCCTTGCACAAAGGTGGTAGACGTGGAAACCGAGCGGAAAGCGCCCGCTCCGGGACTGAAGGAGAAAGATGAGGAGGAGAAATCTGGTGTCGGGACAGAGGAGGAGGAGGAGAGGCTGTTAGTTGGGGGTCCCGTGCTGCCTGCTGCGGTCACCCAGCGCCAGGGGACTCTGCAGGGCGTCCCGCAGAGCGGCCTGGAGGCAGGTCCCACACAGACTTGGGGAAGCCACAGCTGACGCCAAGGGGGCCAGGCTCAGAGCCTGCAAAACCGGGAAGGGACGGCGCTTACCAGAGTGCCCAGGGAAGGAGGAAGAGAAGGTAAAGAAGGGGCCGGAGTGTCGGGAACTCCGGTTCTGAAGCTCCGCAAAGGGGCCCAGGTCATCTGCAGCCAAAAGACAAGATCAGCAGTCACTTGCAGAAGAGACCGCCCCCAAAAACGTGCAAAGGCTACCTCTCAGTCGGAAAATCGAAGCTGCTACCCAGCCAGCTACATTTCTAGTTTTGTTCTCCCATTTAAAATTTACTACTTTTTTTTTTAATTAGAAAGGCAGCAAGACAGACACAAAGACAGGGACAGGTCTTCCATCTGTTGGTTCACACCCCCAGATGCCTGCAACAGCTAGGGCTGGGCCAGGCCAAAGCCAGGAGCTGGGAACTCAGCCCAGGTGTCCCGCATGAGTGGCAGGGACTTGAACCATCACCGCTGCCTCCCAGAACACGCATTAGCAGGCAGCTGGAGTTGGAAGTGGAGCCAGGGCTCCAACGTGGGACGCGGGCATCTCAGGTGGTGCCCTTCCTAACTGAACCAGCACCTGCCCCTGTCTTTCCATTTCTACATGGGTTTATGCACAAGTCAAATTTCCTTTTAAAAATATTAACAAGACAGAGTGACAGAGAGAGAGGGAGAGAGAGAGAGCTCTGCCATCTGCTGGTTCACGTCAGTCAGGGCTTGGCCAAAGAGAAGCCAGGAGCCAGACTCCATCCAGGTCTCCTACACAGAACCCAAGTCCTGGGGCCAGCATTTGCTGCCTCGCAGGCACGTTTGCAGCAGCTGGATCAGAAGAGCAGGGCAGAGTAAAGGACGGACGGGCGGGCGGGAAGGAAAGAGGGGGGGAGTAGGTGGCTCCTTCAGACAGACCGGTCAGCAGGACCCACGGCGAGGGGTCCTGGCTCTGCCACGTGCCGTGTGACTTTAAATAAGTTACTTGTGCCTCAGTTTTCTCCTCTGTAAACAGGGACTAAAATTACCCCCCTCCCCGGGTTCACTCGAGATTAGGGGATATAAAATACCTGGCACGTATTAATCATCTCCAAACAGGGGCTGTTGTTAGGTGTGATGTTATTACTACTGTCACGTGACGCTTCGAGTGCGCTTCCACGGCTGTTATTGTGGCGGCCTAACAATGTGTCACTGTTGCCGTCCCTTGCTAAGGCCAGGCCGTGAGGGCCCACTGCAGGGTCACGTGGCTGCCGGCCTGTGTGAGCCTCTGTCCTGCTCTCACTGGCTCCACCCCCGTGACACAGAATCTGCCGTGCAGTGGTGCTTCCCTCGCCCTCCTGCCTGAGGCAGGTGGAGAGCAGGCCTCGCTCAGAGGCTGCCGGGCACTCACCAAAGAGCTCGGCAAAAGGGTCTCCGCTCCCGAAGAACTCCCGGAAGACCTCCTCGGGGCTGCGGAAGGTGAAGCCGAAGCCAGGTCCTCCGGCACCAGCCTCTGCCCGCGCTGGGCCGGTTCCTGGAGGAGAGGCAGGATGAGCGGGGGCTGTGGGTGTGCATCCCGCCCCGAGCCAGGGGCGCCAACCTACGCCAACCTCCCCTCCTCTCCTCCCTGACCCACTTCCAGCCCTGGGCCCCGCCTCTCCACCTACCTGCCCCCGCCAGCCCTTCCCGGCCATAGCGGTCGTAGATCTCCCGCTTGTGCTCTGGAAAGAGAGGTCGCATCATTTCTCCCCCGCTCTGGGTGGCAGCCTCCCCCCCAGGCCAGGACCCTCGAAGGACTGTGGGAGACTGACACAGGGGGCGTGGTAGGGCGTCCAGGGGCCACGGGCGACAGGCTGCAGCAGTTCAGCCCTCCCCACAGCTGGTTCCTTCTCATCCGTACGATGGACATGGTATCAGCCCGTTATCTCTCAGGGCCGCCGCAGGAACTACATGACTACACGAGATAATCCACGCAGACGGCGACTGACACACGGTAGCAAACACTTGCTAGTTATCACCATGTTATTTACCAGGACTGAGCCGAACCGTCCCCAAACCAGGTGCCCATGACTCCCCACAGCCCACGGCCCTGCCACTCTCCTTTGGAACACTCTTCGCCATCTGCGGCCCTGGCTGGGGGTCCACTTGGCTTGTGTCAGCCGTCTCTGACCAGAATAGGAAGAGCCCCACAGGACAAGGCCAGGGCCTGCTGGTCCTCCCCACCACCACCACCACCCTGCTTCCCCGACGCCCACAAGTGCCTGGCCCCAACAGCACTCGATACAAACTTCTTGAATGAGCGAAGCAGCACAGACCTGGATTCCTATTCCAGCTCTGTGCGACCTGCAGCAAGTGAGTTCACCTCTCACAGCCTGTTTCTCTGCCTGGAACACGGGAGGATAAAGCTGCCTTGCAGCATGGCTGCGAGCACTCACGGAGATGAGACCCCCAGCACCTGCCAGGGGCACCTGTCCCACTTCACTCCCCTCCGCAGGCCCCTCGCGGCCCTACCACACCTGCGGAACACACGTGGGGCTGTGCTGGTGGGAGGGGGCCAGGCCGGAAGCAGGCCTGGGGGAGATGGTGATGGTGGCTTTGGGAAGGAGCCAGATGGGTCACGGAGTGGGTGGGGGGACGCACTGGGCCCTGCCCTGACCCCGCGAGCCTTACTGTCAGAGAGCACTTCGTAGGCTTCAGCCACCTCCTTAAACTTCTTCTCAGCAAACTCCTTATTATCCGGGTTCTTGTCTGGGTGCCACTGTAGAGCCTTCCGCCGGTACCTGCAGGGAGCGGGTTCAGAGGGCAGGGGTCAGGGACAAAGGCCAACACTTCCCACCAGGGCCCTGAGCGGAGCCGTTTCCTGCCACTGCCCTCTGCCCACTGCCTGTGCTGCGAGGATTTCAGGGGATTCTCTCCGGCTACCGCTAGGACTACGTGGACGCACACATGATAACGCGAGGGTGAGCCAGCTCCGGCCCTAAGCCCTCCCTGGGGCTCGCTGGACTTGGGCGGCCAAGGTTGGGGCAGCCGTGGCCCCTCCTGCTCCGCGTAGAGCCGGGCACCTTTGCGCTGCTCTCCCAAGCAAAGCCCATGCCTAGGAGCTGAGGTTCGGGTGGAGAGGGGGGCGGGGCAGGGCCGCCAGACAGGACCCACCGGGCCGCCCCCCGCCCTAACTTCCCACTCTGGACTCCCTCCTACTTTCAGGGGTGTCCTTTCTCCCTACAGGTGTCATTCTGAAGCCGCCCCCCATGCCTCCCAAGGCCCCGGTGCCCTGAGACGTCTACAGGTGTCACAGAGGTGCGGGGGGCGGGGCGGAGAGGCGCCCCGCAGCGCGGCCGCGGCACTTACGCCTTCTTGATGTCGTCAGCGGACGCACTCCGCGGCACGTCTAGAATCTCGTAGTAGGATGCCATGGCAACTCGGAGGGCGTCAGGCCGGCCTCCTCCGGGCTGCAGGCGAGAAGGCGTCAGGCGGAGGCCCGGCAGGAGACGGAAGAGGGGCCCGCGGCGCTCAGCCTGCGGCCGGCGACGGTGCTCCCTCCCGCAGCCTTATCGGAGCCCCCTGACTCCAGCAGCCCGGCCCTGGGCCCCGGCCGCACCTCCTCTACCGGGGGTCCCCGGCCTCCTGCGGCGCCCCGCCCCTGCCCTGCGCCGGGAACCGTCTGGCAGCGGCGGCCCGGCTCGCGGCCGCAGCGTAGGACGCGCCGGCCCCGCTGTGCGCGCCAGCATGCGTCAGCGGCACGGAAGCTACTAGAGCCGGAGAGGGGCGGCTCGGCCTGTCACCCCGGGCGGGGGAGGGCGCTGCAGGGGCTGCCGGGAGATGGGGGCGGAGCCGGCTATTTTGGGCCTGCACCCGGACGACGTCATCCCCAGCTGGGACCTGGGGATCCATCCCGGCGTGACGCAGTCGCACCCGCACAGGGGCAGGGGCGGCCGACCTGCAGGCCGCCTGGCCCGGGGTCCCCGTGTCGCTGGCCTCTGAACACGCTCCGTGACCCTTATTCGTTCCAGAGGCCACCGCCTCTGAGTGCAATTCCTCCCCCTCCGTGGGCTCCAGGTCCTCAAAAGAGGCTGCCCTGTACCCGAGGAGGTCAGAGCTGCCTTTTGTAACCTCGCGTGGCATCTGCTTCCTCATGCTTGTCAGAGCCACAAATTAGCATTCACTGGCTCATTCGATTATCGTTCACCTCCCCCACTAGAATGTAAATAGCACAGCCCGAGAGTTGTGTCTTTTTAAGCGCTGATGAGGGTTAACGATGATCTGCTGGGAGATTCAATGAGCAGGTGCAAAGCTCCTGACAAGTGTGCCACATTGGGGGAGGGGGTGGGGAGGTCACAGGGGACCCTAAAAGGGAAGGTGTTAGATTTAGGGTTTTTCTGGCTCAACCGATCCTGGATAGGCCTGTGACACCTCAAAGTGATTCCTGGGTCCAGGCCTCACGGGAGAGGTAGGGAACCTTCCAGAGCTGGCCCGCTCGATGCCACCCAGAGAAATCCACAAGCATTGGCGGAGCACCCTCTGCATGCTCGATGCTGCCAGGCTGCAGAGAGCAGAGTGGGGCCCAGTCCCTTACTTTCCGAGAACTTGAACTTGATAAGTACCGGCCCATCCACACAGTCCACTGAGAAACCCCAAGAATTCGCAAACAGACCTAGATCTGCAACCTGGCGCTGCCAGGAGACGGGAAAACCTCTGAGGACTCAGTGTTGTCTCCCCAAATATCAGTAACGCCTAAGGGTGTTTGAAAGTCAAATGGCGCAGTGGTACAGAGTAGATAGGATCAAACACAAGCCCCCCCACTCCGGCCCCCCCCCCTTCCTGGTGGGCCCCCGCAGCAGCGGCTCCAGCCGTCCAGAGCAGTGGTTCAGGCTGGGTGACCTGGGAATGCTTCACCAAAGAGAAGGGCCTGTGCCCGACAGGAGACAAGGAGGTACCCGGTGGTCCGGGTCCCGGCTGCCCACCACCTGAACCTGCCGCCTACGCTTGAGGAATAGCCACCCCAGCTAGGGTATCGGCCCTTCATGGGAGGCAGGCCACCCCTTGCTACAAAGCCCTGGCGCTTGCTCTCCCAGACTTCTCGGCTCTAAGGTTGCTGCCAGAAGACACAGCTCTGCCAATCTGATGCTGCAACTGGGACTTGGAATCTGGAGCGGGTCACCGAAAAGCGCAGGCAATTGAGAATTCGGGTCTGCCTCAGTGGTGGCCATGAGGGCCTGCAGCGACCTCTAGTGTCTGGAGGGGGAAGTATCAGCCTCAGTGCCTGGGCCGGGGTCCTCCTCACAGAGGAGAGGGCAGGGGGTCTCCTGCACGGGGTACCCCGTGCCCTGACCTTGGCCCCAGCCTGGCTGCTCAGCTTCCCTTGGTGCCTGCCTGTTTCTTGCTTGTTTGGGAGGGGACTGAGGGTAGGGAGCAAGAGGTTAGATTAGGTATTTTTGCTTTTATAAATTCGACAGAGGTACTGATTACAGCAAGAGGCCTGATTGTCCCAAATTCTTGGCATAAGAGGAAGGAGTAGGTTAGGTTAACTCGCTCCAAAATCTTCAGATCTCTGCCTTTTTCTTCTCACTTCGGTATCCACAGACAGCTTCTAGCCCCTGCCACGTGGGTGGTGTTCTATTAATAACACAAAGGGCCTAGATGCCCACCCCTGTACTCGAGGAGATGGTAACATGGTTGAGACACAGACAAATGACAACCAGGGAAGTTACATGGAGCACAACTAATAGGTAAGAGGTTCATTTCCTTGACTCTCAAAGAAATACAACAAATTAATAAGACAAGAAATACAGTGTTTAAAAGATTATTTATATTTGAAAGGCAGAGTGACGAGAGAGAGAGAGAGAGAGAGAGAGAGAAGAAGAAGAAGAAGAAGAAGAAGAAGAAGAAGAAGAAGAAGAAGAAGAAGAAGAAGAGAAGAGAGATCCTCCATCCGCTGGTTTACTCCCCAAAAGGCTGCAACAGCCAGGTCTGGACCAGACTGAAAGCAGGAACCAGGAACTCCATCCTGGTCTCCCGTGTAGGTGGCAGGGGCCCAAGCACTTGGGCCGTCTTCCACTGCTTTCTCAGGCTCATTAGCAGGAAGTGGATCAGAAGTAGAGTAGCTGGGACTTGAACCAGCATTCTGCCATGGAATCTAGATATCCCAAACAGCAGTTTAACCTGCTGCACCACAAGGCCAGCCCCATACAAGACATTTTTTTAAACGGACAGAGGGTGCAATTCATGGAAGAGGAAATACTGGCTTTTAAACAAATGAAAAGATGTTCAGTCTCATTCCCAACAAGAGAAGTACGAACAAAAGCTGCAACAAAACACTGTGCTTCACCTAGCAATTCACTGACACAGATGGAAAAGTTTAATCCAAGGTGTGAGCACAGACCTTCTCCTAGGCCCCAGTGGGAGGGTGAGTGATTTGTGTAACTTCTAAAACGAGCAATATGGGAGCCAGCGCTGTGCTGCCGTGGGTAAGACTGCCGCCTGCGATGCCAGCATCCCATATGGGCGCCAGTTCAAGTCCTGGCTGCTCCACTTCAAATCCAGCTCCCTGCTAATGTGCCTGGAAAGCAGTGGAAGGTGGATTAAGTGCTTGGGCCCCTGTCACCCACACAGGAGACCCAGAAGAAGCTCCTGGCTCCTGGTTTTGGCCCTGACCTTTGTGGCCATTTGGGAAATGAACCAGCAGATGGAAGATAGATAGATAGATCTCTCTGCCTTTCAAATAAATAAAATCTTTTAAAAATTAATTACGGGGAACAATATGGTTCTCAACAAAATTAAGGGCACACAGACTTTGACCCTGGAGTTTACTTATAGGAATTTATGGCTGTGCATACATGCAAAAGAGTATACACAGGGCTGCGGCATTCTTTTTAATAGCAAAACATTGGAAACAACCTAAACACCCGTTGATAGCAGACTGACTAAGTGATAGTATACCATCCAGTGGCTTCGGGCCTCTCTCTCTCTCTCTCTCTCTCTCTGACTCTGCTTTTCAAATAAAAAATAATTAAATCTTTTTTAAGAGAAGAACGAGATGAAGAGACTTTTCTTTTTTTCTTAATATATCACTGCTTTCATTTATTTCCAAATTGTATGTACTTGGGATGCACTGTATGGCATTGCAACTGATGTCTATGATGTGTGATGATCCAGGTGGTAACTTCAGATAGATATCTTTTCTTTGTGTTGGGAACATTCAAAAGCTCCTCTAGGGGCCAGCGCTGTGGTGCAGCCAGTTAACGCCCTGGCCTGAAGCATGGCATCCCATACGGGCGCCGGTTCTAGTCCCGGCTGCTCCTCTTCCAATCCAGCTCTCTGCTGTGGCCTGGGAAAGCAGTAGAAGATGGCCCAAGTGCTTGGGCCCCTGCACCCACGTGGGAGACCTGGAAGAAGCTCCTGGCTCCTGGCTTTGGATTGGTGCAGCTCTGGCCGTTGCAGCCAATTGGGGAGTGAACCATCGGATGGAAGACTTCTCTCTCTCTCTCTACCTCTTCTCTCTGTGTGTGTACTTCTTTCAAATAAATAAATAAATCCTTAAAAAATAAAAAGCCCTCTATTGGCTATCTTGAAATATTCAATTAATTGTTGTTAGCCATGGTTATCCTACTGTGATACAGAACATTAGAAACTGTTGGTCTCCCATTTCTCTAGCAACCAGGAAGGACGTTGGTGTGGAGGACAAGAACTAGCATGGCGCCCAGTGCTTTGGCGAAACCTCAGATGCGGGGCCTTCTGGCCAAACGCCTGCGCTTTCATATCGTTGGAGCCTTTGCTGTGTCCTTGAGCGTTGCAGCTCTGTATAAGTTTGCAGTGGCGGAACCAAGAAAGAAGGCATATGCAGATTTCTACAGAAATTATGATTCCATGAAAGATTTTGAGGAGATGAAGAAAGCTGGTATCTTCCAGAGTGCAAAGTGATTGGGGATGTAAAGAATTTCTTTGGATTGAATTCTGTAGAAGTTTGTCACTGACCTGTGTTCCCGAACTATGAAACATGAAATATACGGGCTAAGGAATAGTTTATCTTGATAAATAAATAAATACTCTGGACAGTAAAAAACAACAAACAAACAAACAAAAAACCTGGTCTTACCCAGCTGCACCCCTGTACCCACGAACCTCCTCTCTCCACCCTCTTTGCTCACTTGGGAGACCTACTTGGCTGCTACTGTTGCTAGTGTATCATTTTGGTACCTCTGAATTCTGAAGCATGTGCACCTAACAACTGGTTGGTTTTTTTGTTTTTTTTTTTTTGTTTTGTTTTGTTTTGTTTTGTTTTTTTGGACAGGCAGAGTGGACAGTGAGAGAGAGAGACAGAGAGAAAGGAAGGTCTTCCTTTGCCGTTGGTTCACCCTCCAATGGCCGCCGCGGCTGGCGCGCTGCGGCCGGCGCACCATGCTGATCTGAAGGCAGGAGCCAGGTGCTTCTCCTGGTCTCCCATGGGGTGCAGGGCCCAAGCACTTGGGCCACCCTCCACTGTACTCCGGGGCCACAGCAGAGAGCTGGCCTGGAAGAGGGGCAACCAGGACAGAATCCAGCACCCCGTCCAGGACTAGAACCCGGTGTGCCGGCGCCACAGGTGGAGGATTAGCCTATGGAGCTGCGGCGCCAGTCCCTAACTGTTTAAATGCATCTGTAACTTAGAAGATGCAGTTGGAAAAATGGAACATTGACAAGAAGCTACCTGCTACTACACAGGGCAGCCCACGACAAGTGTCAGATAAGTGATAGAGATAGACGGAAGGTAGGTGCTAGAGAAGCGAGAGGGAGGAGGGAGTGCTCCTGGGGCTGGGTGGGTGCGTGCCCGTGAGCTCAGCTGAAAGGAGTGGCAGCACTGTGGCAAGCAGGGGGTGGGTGGCCTTCCCCACGCAGGAAATGCTGGGGACTCCGCTTTGGTGGCAAGCGTTTTTCTGACACATCAGAGGTGAGAGAATAAATGTGTTGGGTGGAATCCAAGGTTGGGAGCCTGTCTCTCGTGTCTGTCTGCAGGAGGGACTCGTACCCTGGCTTTAGAAGTGGCAGGGATGAAAGCATTCCCCAGCACTGAGGGAGTCTCCAGGAGCCAGGCTGGGTGGGGCTCCCAGCTGCTGCTCCAGGAGGTCTGGGTTGCCACCTCCCCACACGCACAGCCAGACCAACTCCAGCCTGCCAGTGCTTGCCAGGTGCATTGCTCACTGGGACGCCTTGTAAGGAGACAGCCAGGTAGCAGTCCAGCTGGGTTGGCTGGTACAGCACACGGGCAGGGAACCTGGCGGCCTCTCAGGATGCCCAGGCAGGTGAGGATCCCCCCTCCCTCTGAGTCCTCCCTCCTAGTCTCTCCCAGGCCCTCACCCCACCTCCTACGAGAGGTGAGTGGACCCTTTCCAAAGGGCACTGAAAGCCCTACAATCTGACCCCACAGAAGCTTCTGCTCTGATTCAGGCCCAGAATCTGGGTCCGTGTCCCCCATCCGGATCCACCCACAGCAGAGCCTGGGCAGAGGAGTGCCAAGCGTCACCCACACCCTGCCCTTGGGGCGCCTGAGTCACCGTCTAGGCACTGGGGACCTGGCAGGCCGGAAGAGGCAGTGTCTCGAGGGGCGCCCCATCCGGATCTCCCACGTGGGTGGCAGAGGCCCAAGTACTGGGACCCTCTTTTGCGCTTTCCCAGGCTCAACAGCAGGGAGCTGAGGCAGAGGCAGAGCAGCTGGAACTCGAATTGCTGCTCCTCTATGGGATGCCGGCATGGCAGACAGCAGCTTAACCTGCTGTGCCACAACACCGGTACCCAATACTTTGTCTTTAAAAGAAAGCAGCTGAGGGAGATTCCTGGGAGGTGGGAGATGAACCCCTCACCCTAGTCACTCTTTCCTTGTTGCTGCCATTGGCCACTCTCCCACCTCAAAAACCAGCATCTGCGTTCTCCATAGCCCAACCCCCTGCTAGGAGAAGACGAGTTTCCAGACTGTAGGGCGGCCCAGTGAGCATCGGCTCCATCAGGTGGCGCTCTGCATCCCCTGGCTCCTCCTGACCTCTGCAGGCTTTGCTGCAGCCCTGTGTGGGCTCCAACCAACTTCGCACCTGTGCACCTCACAGTGCCTCCTCCAGGGGTTCCTGTAGACCCTATAGCCCCATTCATGCTTGAGAGGGTGAAGCTTTAACCAACAAAACAACAGAGCCATGGGCAGGTGTTTGGCTCAGCAGGGTAGCGGCATCCTGTATCATATGCCTGGGTTCCAGTCCCAGTGCCACTTCTGACTCCAGCTTCCTGCTAATGTGCAGCCTGGGAAGCAGCAAGTGATGACTCAAATAGTTGGATCCCTGCCACCCATGTGGGAGATCTAGATTGAGTTCCTGGCTCCTGGCTTCAGCCTGGCCCAGTCCCGGCCATTGCAGGCATTTAGGAACTGGACTGGCAGATGGAAGATCTCTGTGTGTCTGTCTCTGTCTCTCAAAATAAAATAAAAATGTTAAGAAAGAACTGAGTCAGTGAATAAGCTACCGCCCCCTTGCCTACCCACTCACCCAAGGGTGCTTCTGAGCTGCCACTGATTCAGCTGCATCATCCTGGTTTTATTCCCCTGGGCCCCCACTATGCCTCCTGGAATTGAACTTAATGAAATATGACATTAGACCTGCCGTCTGGGAATCCAGGCTAAGACACCAGCCTTCCTGTCTCCCATGGCAGAGAAGCCCTCCAGTAGGTTGGGCGCTCGATGTCCAGGTTGTGACGGCAGATGTCATAGATGGCCTCGTTGTCCACCATGAAGGCACAGTCTGAGTGTTCCAGGGTGGTGTGCGTGGTCAGAATGGAGTTGTAGGGCTCGACCACGGCTGTGGACACCTGGGGGGCCGGGTAGATGGAGAACTCCAGCTTGGATTTCTTGCCGTAGTCGACAGAGAGCCGCTCCATGAGGAGCGAGGTGAAGCCGGAGCCGGTGCCCCCTCCAAAGCTTGGAGTCCCACACACTAGTCAGGCTAGAAAGTGAGGGAAGCAAAACGCGCGTGTGCAGGGAAAAGCCAGCTTGTGCTGTTCGAATCCCCTGAAAGTTCATGAAATTTTTGGAGGACTTCTCCGAGAGCACAAGAGATCCTTGTAAAAAGGGCCGCCTCCTCCTGGGCACTGTTGGCTCCACAGCTTCCTGTGGTCTTTAACACACAACTCTCTTGCATCTTATTCCACTGTCTTGAACCATTTTGTCACCGTAACTTGCCAGCTCCACCCAGCTTCCTATCCAGGGCCCCCAGATGTTTCTGGAAGGCTTCTCCAGCTGAGATGAACAATCCAGAATGCTGATCCCCATCCTTGGTGGAGGCCGACATCAGCCACAGAGCCTTGGGCCGGTATTACTTGGTTCCCTGATTCTCACAGGGCCTCCTGCCCACACGCCTGCTGTACGAGGTGGTCTTCTGGGGGTGTTTATTCACTTGGCCAGGCAGCTCATCTGCCTGCTGACACTAGGGGTCACTCTGCCTAGCGCCAGGCCAGTTACTACACAAGATCTGGAAGATCCTCAGTTCCTGGCTGGTGCTTACAGGCGGCATCCCCGGATCAGAACGCAGAGTCTTGCCTCACTAGTCCTGAGCCTGCGCGTCCAAGGCTTGTTCAGGAGCCCCTCCCCGGGATGGAGCTGCCCTTCCTCCATCTGGCCTCCTGAGCACTTCACGGCAGGAATCCAGGCCCCCCTGCCCCAGCCCTCAGCCCTTCCCTCTCCAGTTTCTGATCTGGTCCAGCACCCACCGGGTCAGTGAGCTCCTGCCTGCAACTGCAGATGGTGCAGTTGAGGGCAGCATCTTCCCTGCCTGTGACTCAGGCGGCGATGATTGCCCTGCCTGGATGTGTTTCCACGTCAAGGAGGAGGATATGGCGTGGCCTTGGGACTCCGGAACGGAGTGACAGTGACTTTCTACATCGGGAGTTACAGCTGGCTTCAACCACTGAGAGACTGAAACTGCAGACTCCAGTGCTCTCCAGTGGTGGATAGGGACTTGGTGGCAGCACCTGGGGCTGACGCCACTGTAGAGCTGATCACCGCTCACCAATCATGGTGGGCTCCAGATCTACCAACACTTGTCTGGGGCACGTGTGTTTCAGCCCCAGTTTCACTAAAGAAGGTATTGAAGGGGTCGTCTCCTCCCGCAGTGGTCTTGTCGCTGGACATCTGTCCATCCAGTTGGATCCCATGTTCCAAACAGCAGAGCTCCCAGCAGGCATTGCCCATCTGCACGCCAGCTTGCCCCACGTGGACCGAGAGGCACTCGCGCCGAACGGGCAAAGGGCAGTTGAACAGTCTTAACAGAGAGAAGCATATCGTGCCCAGACACACTTCCTGCCTGCCTGCCTGCCTGCCTTCAGCCCTTCTCTGGTAGAGAGCCAAGGTCCCTGGACTCTGCACCCCTTGCCCCACCTCCTGCATCTAAGCCTTGACTGGAGACGCTGAGGACCAGTGGCGCTGGCTGCCGGGGACAGCCCAAAACCCGCGGGGGAAACAGATGTGGGCAGCTGTGTGATTACAGAGTTGCGCTCCGTGACTAAGCACGTCTGTGAGGAACTCTGCAGGCATCAGACAATCCTGGCGGAGCGCGATAGTCCATCCATCCACATTCCCCAAGAAAAGAGGAGCCATTGGCGAGGGAAGCGAGGGAAAGATTACAGGAATAAAGAAAGCATCGCCCCCAAATCTGGAGTCATGCAGAAGAGGCATGGGCTCCCGTTGTGTTCCCTCCATGATCCTTCATCCCTTTGGGTATGCCTGAATTGTTTCATCAGCGTTGGATAAGGATGCTTTCTCCATACACTTAACACTTCGCCAGCTTTTGGGCAAGCTACAAGGGTCCGACTCCTGACTTCCAGATGACAAGGATTAATCCTCAAATAATCCGCAACCCAGCTCGTCACGTCTCTGCTCGTCTTGGGCAAGAGTCTTCACCTCCTTCTTGGCTTCCTCTCCCTGTGAAACGGGAGCAGTAACAAGAACTGAGAACCACTCCAAGGATTTGATGGAAGAAACCATTAGCAGTGCCCAGCCCACTGGCTGACACACACTAGGGTCCGGCGCAGATGTTGGGTCT